GACTGTTTTTCCTTTTCTTCTTCTCTAAACAGTATGGTATGCAGGCATCATTTATATGGCATTTACACTGTATTGGGTAATGTAGGTTATGGCCAGACAATTTAAAGAATATGGAAACATGTATATCAGTTATATCAAATACTATGCTATTTTATTTTTAATTTAAATATTTTGTATATCATGTGGTTTCTTGAGTGGGGACATGTGGGGGGGCAGCTATTTATGTGTACATGTGCATGTGAGTCTCAAGGTTGATGTCTGGCATCTTCTTTATTATGCTTTCTCCACTGTATACTTCCAGGCAGGGTCTCTTAGTAAACACAGGCTGGGCATTTTGGCTATTCTGGCTGGCTACCTTGCTCAGGGGATTCACTGTCTCTTCCTCTAGCGGGTTGGCAGAGGATGCTGCATCTGTCTTGGTTTTACGTGGGTTCTTGGGATCCAAACTCCTGACTTCCTGCTTGTGAGGCAAGCACCTTACCCTCTAACAGTCAGCCCTGCCTACTATGTTACTGTAAGGGATTGAGCACCTGAGGATTTTGTATCTTCAGATTTTAACTAATGGTCTTCAGACACCCAGGAATGACTATTTAAATGTATCCCAGGCCTAGTCCACTCCACTGTATCAGTGGATCACAGCTAGCTCATTGCAGAAACAGCAGATGAAATCAGAGCAGGGTTTGGAATCAACAGTTTTTCCAATATCTGACATAAGGATGTTGTCAGAGGAGCAGCAGGTGGCAATTGTGATTGGGGGCTCACCAGGAAACAAAACCCTGATGGGTGAATCTCAGACAGGCAAGGCCCAAGAGCCTGGGCCCCAGATGTCTCTTGCTACTACTGTGTCTTTACATGTTTGCTGCTACCATTTCCCCCTGGTATCTGGTGGCATGTTATGACTGGGCATGGGGAGATCCCCACTGCTCTTGATGTAGTCTTGGAAATATTCTCTTCTACTGGGCATTTTTACCTGTAGATTATTTTGAAGATGATTTTCTCCTAAGCTGTATGTATTGTTTAACTGAAGCCATGATTTTATACAATAATAGTGTCAGTTTAAATAGGATTTTGATGATTGAGAGTTTTTAATAAATATAGCAAGGGAATATGATAGAGGTTATTTTAGTGGAAAAATTAACATAGGTAAAGGGAGGACAAAATGTTGCCCCTGCCTCTGATAAAGCAAAGGCTGCAGAGGATAAAAAATAAAACAAGGAAGAGTCACACAGCCAGAACACATGAGTTTCTATTGAGGAGCCATATAGACTGTGGCTTAGGCTAATGATTAAGAAAAACAATTGAGTCCCAGTAGACCAGATAGCTTAAGTTCTTTTAATCTTAATGTTGGGAGATGTGTTCACAGGTTTTGGAATGCATCACAGCTGAAACAAAGCTTTGAAAATTTGAAAATAACTTAAGGTTAGACTAAGATGTCTTTGTCAAAGAGCTTTGAGGTGAAAAACCCAAGAAGACAATCTAAAGTTTTAGAAAGGCACATAGCTGAGCGAGGGACTCGTTAAGGCCAGGGAACAAGAACAAAGCAGTCCAATTATTATTAGCTGACATGGCTTTCTTGCTAGGATTAGTTGGTGATCAAAGATGATGATTAATTCCTTGTACCCATTTCTACCCCCAACTGCCTCATATAAAAAAAAA